GCACTTCATTACAGATTGAACAATGTGTAATTGTGGATAGTGTGCTACATCTGCTTTTATGAGTTTTCTGTATTATATTGTGTTTGGTCATGTTTTTAATTAGTTGTTGTTTGTGTGTGCATAAAACATAAAAAATGAAAAATTAAACAGTCTTGGTTTCTGACAACAGATAAAAGTGGAAAAGCAACTGTAGACAAAAACATACTCCGTATTTAATAATCCAGTGAGCTTGTTTTTAGTTATATTCACTTGATGATTGATATACATGTTTGTGAAGTCTTGTGTTTTATTTTATGATTCAGAGTACTTATTTTGAAAATGGTTTTGTTTCTAAAGTTTGTTATTCATTTTTTTCTTCTAGAAATTTGTATGTAGCCTTATTTAAACTTCGTATTTGTTGGTCTTTTATTCTTTCGAACCTTAAAACAGGTGAGGGTGCACCTTATGGAGTGGACATCAGTACCGGTGTAGCCGATTCCTTTGCTAATTTTGTGGACAACAGCACCTTGTAGCCTTATCTAAATCTATCCAACAAGGTTTTGGCACTCAATTGTTATTCTCTCAAACAATTCTAACAATTTAGGTAGCTGCTCTACAGCCCATGAAGTTTCTCAAGAGCTTTTTTTTTTCGAGAGTGATTTTTTGTTATAGGTACTACTGTGTGTGTCAAGTGCACATTCTGGATAGTAAAGAAGAAATTGGCCTGAATTAAGTATTTTAGACCGAATAAACCACAGGGGTTTAGTGATACTGGTTATGTGCATTTAGTGGAACTATGTGAAATTGGTCAATGTTTTGCTATGAAATATTATTGTTTCTAATATTCATAGTATTTGTCTGTGACAATAGATGTCTTAACCAGATATCAAATAGCAGTTTTCATATCTTAAAAACATGAATTTTGTATTTCTTGTAAGAGATAAATGCCTCTCCCCCCTCTGATTTTATGCTCTAATAATATCAATTTTTGCATATATCTTATTGGGGTTTCAGGTGCCATGTGGATGCTGAAAGATGTTACCTTAGTGTGTGTACAAAAAAGCCAAATGGAAAATGTAGTGGACATGGACGTTGGCAGAATGGAAGAGGTTACGGTTAAGGTTTCAAGCTACCCGACCAATGTTATGTTCCTCGTGAAGAAAACTTTCTTCACAGCTTAGCATTTGTTTTAGCATGTAGAAGTGTTAGTTTTTTAGTTGTGCCACTTTTTTAGTTATGCGAGTTTGATGAGTGAGATTGTTTCACTTTGATAAAATGTGGTGTAACATTAGATATTCGAATCTGACAAGTTGAAGTATCAAATAAATATGGTTGTTTGATATTTTGTTTATTTATAAATATCAATATGATTTTATTATTATGAGATAATATAATCTTGTTACAAAATATCAATATGATTATATTATTATGGGTATACACACATTGATACCAATGAGTCATAAATTTTTATGATACCAACCTGTCAAAAAAGTTTATGATATTAGTGTATCATTGGTTTATATGATGTTTAGGTATCGTTAAGAATATCGACACACATGTATCGCTACATTTCATGATGCTAAAGTGTCGTAATTTACTGACACTTTTGCAGTGACACTAAATTTAGTGTCGCAACTCCCACCATTCGTTGACACTTTTTAAGTGTCACAAATATTTTTAGTGACACTAATTTAGTGTCACTATAGACCATTTTTCTAGTAGTGAATAAACTTACATTTTTCTTTTTGGGTAGATCCAAAATAAACTTCACACTTCTATTTTTGACAAATTTTTAACATAAAATTACTCATATACCCTTACTTTATTACCTACTTTACACCCACTTTGTCTCTCCCACTACACTTTATCACCTTTTTGTAGGGGTCTAATGGAAAAGTCAAAATTTAAAAAAATTCCACTTTCTTAAAAGCCGTAAAGTCAAAGCATGAAGTTTATTTAGGATCGGAAGGAGTATATTATTTCGGATAAATTGAAATAAAAAAATCTCAGGATTGAAATCGAGATTTGAGTTGTTCAGCAGGATCTGTTAAAGGGAAGTGTAAGATAAAGTTTTATAATAAAGATCTTAAAAAGGGTTCTGGAGAGTTGTTAACTCCTACAATAGAGAATGGTATCCCACTCTTTGTTGATATATGAAGAAGATACAGATAGTGGTATCCCAAAATATGAAATAAGATTTTGCAGAATGTAGCATTAGTAAAGTAGCCTTATTGTACGCGTGCGCACGCGCACATACATGCATAAGAGTAATCTTCCTGTCAAGTATACCTAATTGGAGCCACATCGCACAACCACATCGCTCAAATTTTTTAAGCATATTCCTCGTGAAGTATAGATGATGTCCATTAAATTTGAGAAAAACATTCAATTGAGAAGGCAGTCAAACGATTTCTGAAAGATAACTGCGCCAATATATACATATAAAACACAATTATCTTCCAAAATTCATCTGATTGCCTTCTAGATTAAATTGTTTGCTCAAATTTGGTGTAGATTATCTACACTTCATGAGGAACATGCTCAAAGAATTTGAGCAAAAAATACCACCGGGAACAACCTCAAAATGAGGTGGTCGGACGGTGGCCCTGTCACGTAACCAGGCAAGAATATTTGTTTGTGTGTAATCCTTTTCTTAAATTGGACTCTAGTAAGAGCAGCTCCAATGGGAGGAGTGTATTGCTATGTCGCAATAAAATGAGAAGGTTCTATTTAAAATGTACGTGCACCAATTGTCTAATAAATGAAAGGGTCTATCTGAATGCTCTCCAATGCCAAACAAAACATACTATTATATATGTGGAGTACTCCGTAAAATGAAAAGTGAAATAGGAAAGAGAAAGTCAAGCAGCACTACTGTGGAGGTGAAGCCGAGGGTCTATATGTGGACCTCGTGCAAGACCCTCCCTCTATTTTATGATTGCCAAGTCAGCTTCACTAGATCCATATTCTTTTGCATTGAAGAGTAAAATTTTAAATATAGGGTCTATTGACTGATGTGTAATGCATTGTAAGAGGAATCCATATATCTCCACATTGGAGATTCCCTAAAAGGTGAACTGGAAAAAAAATAGCTCATGTTGCAATGATGAAAACAAAAAAAATATGTTACAAGAACCTAAAAGAATGTGTATCTTATTTGGAGGGACTAAAAATATGTTTAAACCTAATTATAATATGCTTTTCGTACCTTTTTATTTAGACAAACACTATTTCTCAAGTCAATGATGTTAAAATTTGACAAATTATATATTTATACACGGTAATATTTATAATATGAAAATTGTATGAAAATGTTCTTTGTTTAATATAATACGGAGTATCATAAAGGTATAAATTTTTTAAGTTTCACATAAAAATATTAGTTAAAATAATTGATCGAAGTTTATACTGGAGAAGTCAAAGATGGATAAATAAAAAGGGATGAAGATAGTTGCTAATATGTTTCTAAATAATACTATATTCGTGTCTTAAATTTTTGTCAACATTTTTTTGGTTGTCTCACTAATTTTGTCATTTTCCCCTTTAAGTAAGAATTTGTGATTTAATTAGTGAATTGTTGGTTCAATGCACAAACATGAACCACTTAGTTCTTACTCTATTAATCCTCGTGTTGGTCAAATGTGACCAAATTTAAGAGACAGTGGGAGTATGAGTTTATTGAAATACAGGGGCGGATCTATTGTGTAGTTAATGGGGGCACATGCCCCCAATAAAGCTTTGCTAATAGGGAAAAAAGTATAGAAAACAAAATTGTATTTCTTAGTGGTTAGAGTAATTGCCCCAATAAATTAATACTTTTGCCCCCAATAGTTTTTTCTATTCCAAGATAGAACACAAATATACGGAGTACATGGTTATGAACTTATGATTAATTCAAGTTCATGCACCTGGAATTAACTAAGTAATGGAAATAAAATAATCTTGATTAATTATAAGTCAAATAAATTTAGTCACAAGTTTCACAACAATTTGTTAAATGTACGACAATTGCTTATCATATTAAAACAAAGAAAACATCACTCATTACTCCATGTTATGTTTCTTTTTGTTCAACTACAGCAATAAATATGTAAATCAATCTCTTAATATTTTCTTGCTTCGTCAAATTTGCAGTCATGCTTAAGATATGATTAAAATAAAGTTTGAAGAAATAATTAAAAAGAGAGAAGTACAAGTAGAAATAATTCAACATAGAAGGCAAAATAGAACATTTATAAAAAGAATAACACTTATGTTATTCTAAAAAGTGGAAATTGTAAAAAACAAGAGAGAATTCCCTAAATAGGAGTAAAAACGTTTTGAAATTTCAAAATAGGACTATCATATTTTTTATTTCCCTGAACAGGAGTAAATTTCTGCCGAATTTGGCATTACTGGGCTTTAAACATCACATTTTTTCTCAAACTTGGCAGATTACTCCTATTCAGGGAATTAAAAATATGAGTCCTATTTCGGAATTTCAAAACGTTTTTTCTCCTGTTTAGGACAGTTTCTGTAAAAAGTAACCAGAAAAATGTACAAGTAATTTTAAATCAATCTTATATTCTGTTATTAGTGAGAGTTCTAAAGGATTATGCCCCCAACACAAATTTTTCCTGGATCCGCCACTGTTGAAATATAATATTAACATGAAGTTATATTATTGAAAAACAAATAATGTTGAATATATTACCAAGGGTAAATGTAAACGTAGATTTTAAAATGATTAAAAACTATTGAAAGCAAAAGATGTTAAAAGTAAAGATAAAGATTCGGAATACCCTTGTCCGAATTTCTAAAATCCCAAAAACCAAAAATCAATTATCCGATTGGTTCATGGAATCCAAAATTTCTCTTTACTAGGATTCATGGATTCTACGAGCACGTATTTGGTATTTTTAGAAACCCTAACATTTATCCCGCATTTTATTAGAAACTGGTGCATGGCATTCTTGTAAAAAAGAAATCATCCGTATATAAATATGAGTATTAATTCCTGCAACTAACCCTACTGCCTTAACCTTAGCTTCATTCCAACGATCCCCAGCTCAAGAGAATTATATCTCCTTCCATCGATCATTTCTCATCCATCTATCATGGACATTGCAGCAATACTCCGGAGCAAGTACAACGTGAAGAAGGAGACAGACATGGTGGCCTTGATAGAAGAAGCCGTGCTGGTCGCCTCCTTGGTCGTGCCCGAACGCCTCAAGAAGCATCGCAGCCGGATCGTCAAACTGCTCTTCGATGACAACCCGGGTCGCTCGGATCTGCTCTTCTCCGACGATGAATTGTTCGATGACGATGACGACGACGATGACGACCCGCGGTCGGGTTCCAAGATCACCCATGCAGCTTCCCCTTTGCCGCCTGTCAACAAGACCAAGATCAAGATCCTCAAGAAGGGTGCTTCGGTTGATGCTCTTTCTCCTTCCCCGAGATGTGGCGGCGGCCGTGATGTTCACGGCGGTGCAACCGTGGGATGCAAGAGAAAATCCCTCTCTGCTGGGAATGGGCGGCTCAACAGCAAGGTGGTCCAGGCTCCAACATGTGGGGTCAAGCAGAGGTTGCTTTCAAAAATGAAGAGGAGGAAGGTCCAATATAATCCAACATGGATCCGCTAGCTAATCATCATAGGATGGATGAAAAGAACCTTATTCTTAAAATGTGTTGATCAATGATGAACTGATGATGTAGTATAGGTTAGGTTAATTCTTATCATTTTTATCACATGAAAAAGTATGTAGCTAGGTTTAGCTAGTTTATTTGTGTGATTCGTGTGTATTAGTACAAGACAACCAGAACTACGTGTGGCTTGATCCCGGATTCTACAAGAAATAGAAGAATCCGGGTACGTAGGCAGCCTTTGCTCTATTAATAAAAGGTTCAGCTCCAATTCTTTTCCAATTTTAGAAGATGTTCCATTGTTAGTAAGCGAATAAGTGTTTTTTGTTACGTTATTTACGTAGTACAACCATATACTATACCAAGTACTTGGTATATACTCCTATGTAATAAGAGGTGCTTCATAAAAATTAGTATTATAAGTACGTATTTACATAATTCACCAAGTCAATGTACTTCGTATGTATTAAAGCATGTCTATACTACAAGACTGGTCTATTAATGCTTAGAATTTCAGTAATGTGTTCACGCGAAAACTTGGGCCTGAAGTTCATCAAGTGTATTTTTTTGTCCAGTTAGCCAATTTTTAGTCCTATAAAGCATAGGACTAGTACCGAATTAAGTAAATACAACTGAAATTCCAATTATATTCAAGTATTAATACATCGGTCTTGGGGTATGAAGCATGTAAGTGAAGAGATGCAGAGCCGCTTATTAAGCCAGAATCAGGGAAGAGAAGAAGCTAAGATGACAATTAAAATAGAAATAATAAGGAAGCGGCGGTTTAATTAATGTTTACATGGAGTCTAGTTAGTCTCCCTGTTATTGAGTATTAGGATGTTTTTACTTGGACTATAATCCATTACAGACCAGACCGGACCAGATAAGATCAGAACAAACCAGAATAGGTCAGACTTTGATAGTTTTAAAAATACAGAGACTAGACATTACTAGATCAGACCAGTTCAGAGCAGATCGGCAATGGGATAATCTACTGAAATTTATGATTACTAGTTACTCCACCCGTGCATTGCACGGGAGTAAAGTATTTACACTTCATTTGTTTAGGTGAATTATGTAAAACGTAAAAAAAACTTGATGTTAAATCAATTAACTGAAAATATGAAAATAAAATAAGATGACATACTTAATAGAAAATTTAAAAATAGTGCTTGAAGTTAAATATAAATCATCACATGATGAAATAGGTGTGCATGTATGTCCACGAAACAGTCAAAGGAAACTACAAACTACTACCTCCGTCCCATAATGGATGTCTTCTTTTAGTGTGGCACGGTTATTAATAAAGTGGTTAAAAGTAAAAGTTGTGGTTGAGATTTTAGTAGAGTAAAGTAAAATGATATGGACCACATATTTCTTGCCAAAAAGGAAAAGAAGACATTCATTTTGGGACAACCCAAACAGGAAAGTAAGACAACCAAAATGGGACGGAGGGAGTACTATAAACTTCTTTTTATACGATATTTAATGCATACCTAGTTGGTTATCCGTCTTTATCACATATCACAAATTCCAACTCAGATGGACTTTTTACTTTCGAGACAGTCACGTACAACTGTTTATGCATAAAAATGGGCTGACGGCGGATGATGCCAACTCTTTTCATTAAATGTATTGGCTATTATTATTGGTCATAATAGCTAACTATTAATGTAAATTATCTACGCGGATAAGTGTATAGGAGCCTAACATTTACTCGTCGCTTTTGTGTGCATTATTTGAGTCATGATAATATGAGCTTCAAGTTTAGTCACCTGAAGGTGTGTGCTATTGCACAATCCAGATGAATGGTCTATATTTCTCATAAGTATCATGGCACCCCCACTTCCAGTTTCGGCTCGTGACTCGGCAAATGGGAAAATTAATTCTATTAAGAAATTTAAGAGAATGTATGATCGGAGCAAGAATAGCCCATAATGTCAGATCGCCTCTAGGTTAAGAAGTCGGGATAGAGTGCTTGACAATAGATTCAACGGGATAAACGTAAGTTAGGTCCTTTTGTTTATGAATGAATTACAACTGTTTTATCATTCAAAAACGTTTGTGTAAACACAAAAAGCTTATCACTTAAACACCAGAATGTTGTATTTATATTTATTAAAAGTTACACACCCCAAATCTTTTTCCGGCTAAGAAACTTATCTAGATCACAAAAATAGGAGCTGTGTTCCGAATTTTTCATATTTGACATATCCTAACAAATCTATATATGTATTAATCCACTTAAGTCAAGATCCCGCTCACCCACAGGGGCATTCCCGTAACTACACTTAATTTCTATTAATCACCGCAACAATGCCTAGAGCTTTCTTCTTACATTTCTTACTTTCTGAGGCTTCTTCTATTCTTTATCGATCTCTTCTCCTTCCTATTCAATCTGGACTCTAGAGTATTGTTTTCAAGAATGAAAAACCTCTTCTTTATCTCTTCCACTTCCTACTCATTTTGGACTCTAAAAGATTACTTTCAAAAAAAAATTGAGACGAACAATTTGATTTCGCAGGCAACTTTCGACTTGCTTCCGCTCAAGCCTGGGAGAGTCCATCTCAGTTTTACGTAGTATCTGAATTCAGACTCTATACTTCGTATTTATATACATGTCATCTGCACTATCAATCTGATTCTCCGCCTAAAACTCTAGCATCAAAGGCAAAAAGTGCTGCTTCAAAGACAAAGGTTGCGGCTACAAATACAGATAATGTGATTGTGAAGAAACTGAAGGTATTAATTTTCGATTTCACTCTTAAATGTTATGTACTTGGTGGATTTCAATTCCCAATTTACTTATTTTTGGTTTTTTAATGTTTTTTGTGTGCTTTCAATGGTGATGACCCTTTATCAATTTTCAGTACTGGAGGTGATTTGCATCCACTGATTATAAGATGAAGGCTTTGTTGATTTTGCAGCAGGGCACATGTTCTCTAAGATAAACACATCCGTGTGTTAGTTTTATACTTTTATCTAGATATAATAATTGGGATGAAGAGGTAGATATTTAGAGATAATTCTCCTTTTCAAATCCCTCACTATTTAAATAGATTTTGTTAGTGGATTGTGGTTATAACCTACTTATAATGGAAATAGAGTTAGCTAGAAGTAAAGAAATGGTTTATAATGAAAAAGAGGACCTTATGAAAATGGTGTACCTAATGGGTTGGATCAACTAATCATAATTGCCTCTTTCCTTGCTAGAGGAATCTTAACTTCTGTATTTTAGACTTTATTTAGTATTCTTTAAAATCACATTATGGTGATTTTTGAGGCTGCCCTGACCGGTTATGGTGATTCTTTGTATGCTTTATTCATTTTTGCACTCATGTGTTTTCTTTCTTAGGTGAAGAACTTTCGATTCAAATGGCAGTGCACAAGTTTTCTTTTAGGGGGCATTGCATAATATTTAGCTATTAAACATGAATGTAAGCATCTTCATAGTAAAAAATCACTACACTATAACCTTCATATCACTGCCATTGTAGGTCTTCAGGCTTCAATAAATGAAGCAAAAGCTGCTTTAAGTCCAAACCTTCATCTACCATCTCCATTGCAGAACTATGAAATGAATTTATAACTGATGAAAGATAAGTAACTTCATGACTCTTTATTAACCTCTTTTTCAGTTGAATGAAACTTTTCTTAACTTCTATGCTTTACACTTTATTTAAAATTCTTTATAAATTACATTACGTTAGTAGCTTAAGTTTTCTATTCAGTTAATCAGGCTAATTGATGAGTTATAGGCCAGTTAATTTCTCTATTGAGATGAAATCTAACATTGCTTAACTGATGAGAGGTAACTTCATGACTCTTTGTTACCCTCTTTTTCAGTTGAATGAAATTTATCTGAATTCCTATACTTTAGACATTATTTAGTATTCTTTATATATTACATTATGTTAATAGCTTGAGTATTCTTTTCAGTTAACCAAACTAATTTGGAAAAGACATCAACTACGAATTAACTTTAGTGCTGATATGTATGGGTTATAGTGAAACTCTTGAAACTGAGTCCAAGAAGTTAGTTGATATTGCAGCTAATGATGTTCCAGCAGCTCCACAACATTCATCTAAACACCAGTTTGATTGGGTAACATTTTCATGGGAAATATCAATGGCCGATGTTCTTAAGATGGGTAAGGTGCAAATAAGCACCATATGTTCCAAGTTAATTTTTTATGAATTGTTATGAAAAGATAATTCTACTTTTACTTGCAATGTATTTATTTTTAGGATGTATTTAAATTATATTTTAAATAAATTTTATGGGTTTTTGTCACTCTCAGTCCTTAACTATTGTGTCACTAACACTTTTGATACTCTACTTTTAATTTTTTCATTCTTAGTCCTTGAACTATTGTGCGAGACATTTTTGTCCTCGACTTCAAAGTTCCCCGCATTTTGCCCCTGAGGATTTAGTTCTGCATTTAACCACTATGATTTTATCACAATAAATTGGTGACTAAAAACGTCAATACTCTATTTGTTGAAGGACTATTATATTTGGAGGACTTTATATAAAAAATTTCAAAGATTGGTATCAAAAGTATTTTTTGCACAATAGTCGAAGCCTCGAAGGACTATTATGAAAAAATGGCGTTATGGTAAAAGTTCAATATAGATTACAACAATTAAATATATTCAATAATCATTACGTTTAAGAAGTCACATTTTTATAAACAGAATACTACTTGCACCAAGTGTCTCAAAACAATTTCAAACCACAAAAGTACTTCATATTCTTTTATCATAGTTTTTGAGTAAGGTATGCTACAACTTACTAATTACCAAGTTATGTATAGTTAATAGTTCAATTTGGGGTAACAATATCGGTTTTCGGTTCGGTTTTTATGAGTTACAGTACGGTTTGATTTGAAATAGACTAGAGGAGTTGTTACCAAACAAAAACCATACTATATTTCGATTTGCTTTGATTTTGATTAGTTGAGTTCGGATTTGTTATTTTTGAATAATATGTGAAGGTTTCATTGAATACTATATTTCGGTTTGCTTCCATTTTGTTTAGTCGAGTTCGGATTTGTTATTTCTTTACTACAAATAATTTGTTATTTTTGAATAATATGTGAATGTTTTATTCGATTTCGGTGTAGTTCAGTTTTATCGCAGTTTAAAAGGATTACTACCAAACTCAAATCAAATTACATATGGTTCAGTTTCGGGTCGGTTTAGTTTGGTATGATACGGTTTAGTTCGGTTAAACTGAGCCACAATGCCCACCTCTAA